GGCACGGACGTTTCAATCGAATTAACCGCGGCACGGTTGGCACTTATTTGTTCGCATATTCTTGTTGATTTTTCTCAGTTGCTTTAGGTGACCGAGTATCGTCGTAGCCAACTTGAAGATTATGTAAAGTTAAGTTAAGTCGGTAATCCTAACAAGCAAGCATTTTAATTGTCCCATATGATCGTAACAAAAATTAATCGGTTGTCGTGATAAAGAGAGCTTGTGGGGAACGGGGTTTTGAAAAGCAAACCGCACAGTTATCGCGCCACTGACAACTATTCTGAGCTTTTTCTTTCAGTATCTCCTACCATCGACAATCTTCATTCCTTGGGCCCGAACGTGGAACGCGAACTGCACCAACCGAAGCCAATGCTGAGGCTAACTTATTCATACCTCTATGACGGGTCATAGTCTGAGCGTCGTGGTGCTTCTTCTAGCCTTGCCCAGAACGCGCACGAGGGCACGGAGAGGTGGACGATAGGCAGGCATACACAAAACGTGATCAGGCCATTGTAGGCGGTGTAGATCCATTATTTCCGTTAGAGAACTACTATCAGTACCTAGCACACGACGACGAATTTCATGATTGTTCACACGATGCTCCCACCAGACACGAACAGTATTTCGAATGCATCGGTGGTCGAATACGAAAAGTAGATTAGCATCGTCCGCCTGGGGAGGCCAGGTCTCGCAATCGCAAAACACAACACTTCGAACCACGGCGACTTACACCATCCACTTTTAGGATAGTCGATGTTATGGCGGCGCTACAGCTGTAGCAGGGTGGCAAAAGCTGCTCTAGCTTTCGCCATTCGTGATGTAACTTCTTCCCCAACACCATCTCTAGTCGTGAATAAACTCCAGTTTATTCGCTATCTTCAGCTTTTTCGTCGGACAAAACCAGTTTTTTTCAGTGTACTGTACTCGCCAGCTGAACGATCCTAGTCTTGTTTTGGTTTAGGAATGAACGGGAAAATTGAGAATAGTTACATTGAGCACATTGCTAGGGCTCCTAATTTATGTGCTAGTGCAACAGGTAACATGAGAGAAGAGAAAGTGCTAAACATGGGATGGAATAGCTGAATGCTGGTCCTATTATCTCCAGACAACACAGGTAATGCGGTTGACACCCCGGTCCTTGTTATATGTTCTCCAACGAACTACTCGTCTTGGAATTCCTTGTGTATTCGTATTCCTTGAAATCTCCCCGACAGTGGATGAATCTCTTTAGTGACACTCGAACTAGAAACAGTCATCCCGTTTTGCTGGCATAAGAATTCACTGAAATTGGATTATGAAGGTGGAAAATCGGAATAATACTCTTTTTGTTGTTTTTACTCCCTTGAGCTACCCTTGAGCTTCGGTCGTTAAGTCATCCTGTGTAACAAACTTCACAATCCCATCACCACGTGAGATGTGTAACGCTAAGGACAGTCCTTCATGCGATAGGCAGTTATTGATGTGAGTGAGTAGTACAAGTATTGATATTTTAACACTGTCTCAAAGTTCTCATTATTCTACCCTTTTTCTGTTTCAAGAATTCTGTTTGACTCTAAGGGTTTGCTTGTCATGCTCTGTCTCCGGTGAAACGGCACACTGTGCATTCAATTTTTATTCCATTTCGTATTCAATCGAAATACACTGCTTATAAGACTGAGAAGAGGAATTAAATAGGCTTGCATTTGAATATCTGTCCTTTCCAAATACCGATCAATTAGATCAAGGTTTGGGGTGGGAGTAGCATGAAATGTGATCTGTTTAGACTTAAATAAATTTGATGAATAAGGCTTTTTCAAAACTAAAGAAAAATCTTGAGGTTTTGTCAACAGGCATGGTAAAATAAGTCCTGTTGGTAATGATTAACGGGTTCTGTAGATCGATCTTCTGCTTGATTTTTTTTTGATGTGCAGAAAACAAAAAGGTTATCTCGAGCGGTTCGTTCCTCAAGGTATTCTGTTCACACTATTGCCATGTTTTGTGCACTTCAATGTTGATCCTCCAAACGTTTTCAATCCCTGGTTCTATTTATCGTGTACACTGAAATTGTTCGAGTCAAAGTTTTCCCGGTGTCACGAATTTTCTACGCTCTTGTGTACCTTCCTTAATACAGGAGAATCCGAGACACAACATCATCAGCGAATTGTCCTTCTGTTACTGATTTTGGGGTTGCATCTAAATCCACTCGCTGAGGACGCTGCCGGACAAGATGTTATTTGTGAACCAGAATGGCGATTGCTTATTCGTCAGTTTGGACGTACCCGAATTCACCTAACTCGAGCGCAAATGGAGCATCTGGATAGGGTCCGGGACTTGATGCGCTCAAGAGCAGTTGTGATGATACAACGATGTGAGTTTTGCTTTATCACACACTTTATTCAGATGAATGGCAAAAAGTCCCCATAGTCACGAGGACCTGTTTTCGATCATCAGGACCAGTGACATAAGGTCTAACCCTATAAAAGGATTGGTGTGGTGTTGTTCCGGGCTATAGCAAAGCTGTCAATTCTTGCCGTTTGCCAGTGATTCATACGAAAGCGTGATCAGAAAGTGGAAGTTCTCGTGATAGAAAATGTAACCCGCCAAAAAATGAGTGTTGCTGCTACCAAGTCAAATTCAAGACATCTAAGGGATGGATCGACTATTGGAGAGAAACTTTTGAGTTGAGTGTATGCAAGGCGACTTGTTATTCACTACTCGTTCAAAAGACTTCTCTTGGATTTTTAATAAAGAATAGACTGTACCAGTAAAAAGTGGTAGTTTTGGGGTTGATTAGTTGCCTTGACGGATGCAAATATCAACTTTTTAGCTGATAAACCAATAGACGACTAACATGTCTTCTACAATAAAAACTTTCGTATTAATTACTTCATCGCTGAAGATAACGTTTAGATTTGACGTTAATGGAATTAGAGGGTACGGACACTCCGTCTGTCTTAGCAATATTCAAAATTTGTCGAATATTTTAGGAATACAAAATACATGAATTTAGCAAAATTTTCCTTAAAAACAAGTTCTAAAGATCGGTTATCTGCAATAAAGAGGAGTGAAGCACTCGCGTTCATAGTTTCTTACTTGCATTCGTTATATAGCTTCACGGAATTGCCCAACAATTTATCAATCTTATCTTTTTGGGATCAGAATGCTTTAGAGTTTTGGTGAAGTGCGATCGAAGTAAGTAGAATGTGGAAACGCTTGAAGTATTTTATCATGTTTTGGTGCTGCATTTAATGGTTGGCTTTTGACGTGTCCTGGTTTCCCAAAATGAGTTGAGTTGTTTACATTACGATTCGAGTTTTTCCCAATGGAGCAATGTTTGCTGATCGTATTTTGCATAATTGGCTTATCACTGATTGAAATAATAATCGCGGCATGTTTTTGACAGAATCAGTCGAAAAGTAGAACCGCTATATCGTCGAAAATATGGATATTTTTCTTCATTTGTTCTAATTACCTTCAAGACGTATTTTATCCCATTATGGTCTGTTTATCAACTGTTTTTTCCTTCAATTAACTAAACCAACCGTTTAGTTTAGAGTTTATCTACGTCGGCTATTGTATTGTACTCTGAAATATGCTACCGATTACGCATGGTTTCCAAAAGGTAACAGTACTGCTGAAGGGTTGCCCGACGGGGGTTGTTCACCTTAACACGCGTACAAACTGTTTTCGATAAGTCATTCATTATGCGGTTCCGGGTTTTTTGTTATTTTCTGACCTGTATAACCCTTAGCTTACGTAACCTTCCATTGATCTCTTATTTAGGTTTCGAGCCAAGTATTCGTTTTGTTCGTCTAACTTCGTTCATTTACGGTCGCTCTTTTCGCGCTACGATTTGCGATTTCCAGTCGAATATCAACCAATATATCCACAACTAAACTGGATCAGTGATTGTTGCACCAGAACATAGGTCCGGAATGATTGAGTCAGAGGTAAACCGATCAATCAGTGACGTCGCTTGAAATGAGTTCCCAAAACTGTCAACTGCTCTGTTGTGCTTTTTATGTGTATAAAACACTTTCCACCTTATGTTCGGGCTGACACTACTCTTCAGACAATTTAAGCTATCGCATTAGTCGCGAACATAATGGGGGAACATGAGGCATGGTATTCTGTCTCCGGAATAGGAACACCACTCGCCTCGTTTATAGTACCGTCCGTGTCAGCTGGCGGCCTAAGCTATCAAAACAACTGTTCAAACTTGTGCATAGACCATGATGGAAATCGGATAGGATTCCAGTAGTTTTGGGGTGTGTTGTGCACAACCCAGTTTTCCCGCAACATCTTGGCAACCAACCTACTTGGAATGGTTAAATATGGTATGATGACGATACAACTTATTATTACATAGAGAAATCAAACGTTTTTATTTTTGTTAAACGGACGTATCCTAGAAAATCTTACCTTGGGGGGGGGCAAAATGTTCGTAACATCGCCCCAGGAGAAAGAATCTACTCATGTAAGTGGTTACAAAACACACCAACCTTTGTTGTTATACTTTTATTCAGATTTTGGATCGTCTGAACTTCAAACTTGTTCCACTCATGAGTGATCGCTGCCCTCAATTGGATGCACATTGTGGAGTACCTTTTCATGCGTCTACATGCCTTCCGTTCATGGTCGACTTAATATTGGTGTAGCTGAATACCGTCTCACACATTCAGCTAAAGTAACGAGTTAGGGAATGTACTTTGATGACAGTACTCGGAATGGTAATAACATTATATCGCATCCTCAAAGAAGCATTTTCTAAGGTGGTTCAGTTTCGCACTCATAATCTAAATAGGTTTGGTTTCTCCATGAGTTAAAGAGTCATGATCATACCAAATTGGATCAATTTGGCTACCAATATATTCGGAGAAAACGGTAAGTTTATTGCATTTCGTACATAAGATTATCGGAATAACCTAGGGAGTAGTTCCTGAAAGGATTCAAATTTGCTTGCGATATTTCTGTTGATGTGATGCACCTTCCCTGTTTTTTTTCGGATTGATTTGTTACAGGGTTCCGCCGATGTCGGACGCGGTCTCGGTCTCCACTTGCATGTGAAAGTAAACCTCTGGATCTTCAGGCTCTACCGCCGTCTAATGATCCTCAATTGGTTATCGACACCGGGGACGACACGTCCAATACGGATACTCCCATGAAACAAGTTTTACCCGTCGAATTTCATGATATTTCCGATCCCGGCTCGTTTGCAACATTTTCACCTCATATTGTGTCCTATCGGTGCTTGTTACATCAGTCCACGACCCTCCGTCACAATTCCACACGATACTGGTGCTCACGAAAACTTAATCGGTTAAACTGTCTTATCCCATTTGTTCACCTTCCAGTGGCAGCCCCGCTGTGCCTGGTTCGTGGATTAATCGATGCCGTTACGTAATCGTGATCTGTTCTAGCCGAACTGGTTTTTACGGGTGGCCTCCGTTTTGGGGTTGCACTTCGTTCCCTTCGCATTTTGTTTGCCTTTTTGTTTTTTACCCACATTTTGATGACTCTATTTTTCGCGAAACTAGACGAGCGCATTTCTTTTTCAGTCAAATGTGCTTGTGGGATAATCATCTCACTTTTTTTATTTACCATTTTTATTTACATCTCCCTTCTATTGATGACGCGTTCAATCTCTCAAATTCTTTACGGTCAATGAAGAAAATGGATGTGGAAATTGTAATGAACAGAGCTCACTGGTGGAAAATAACACGGGACGATTAGGTATCAGTCCGGCGTGCGTGGTTACACATTATCATTTGTCATGTCTCCCCGTAGTTTAAGGTGGCTGGTTAGCTAGTTTTCGGAGTCCAACTCTTCTTTTATATCTAGTAAATACCATCAAAAAATGATCAAGTCGGAATTCAGTGTCGAGTTGGCGCATGCATTCACTGATAGAACAAGAGAAAGGATTTGATCGAAAGCCACCGAAAATGCGATCAAAGTTCACGCTATCGATGTTAATAAACGAATACCCTTCAAATACCGGTATCTGATTTCTGGAATTAGAACTGGCTGATTGATTGATCATGTGAAGGGCTTGTTTATATTCGGCTATGGAACTTGAGTAATACCACTCCTTTGTAATCTCTGCCTTGTGTAAGCAAAATTTGTGTATTCAGCACTTTGATTAACGTCTGTCTTAGAGTAAGCGTTGAGTTTTGCCTTGTGCAAATAATGAGTGTGCAATCATCATAACCAATGCACCTCAAGTTGATTAGCGTCTACGGTAGTGTAAACTAGTCAGTGTCATCCTGAATCACGTGAACAGTGTGTGTAGTATCTTTGTGAGTGCGATCGAGATGTCACGTGACAGCTTTGAATAGCTGCAAGAGGAAAACTTGGAGTTTTAAAACAAGGTGGTACCACGTGCGCAATTTTTTCAGCAGATGGATCTCACAGTCCGGCGTGATACAGGTGAATAATACCCGTGTCTGTTGTTTGCTTCCCTTTTTCCATTATCGGACGCGTGGTATTGTTTTTCTCAGATTAGTTTTAGTGCAGGCACGAGGTCCCAGCTGAGATGGCTCATATCATTTGATCATTCTGTCATATTTCTCGGGCACTTCTAACGAGTTTTTTTCACTCCTTTGGTTTTATGTATCACAGTAATTGGTTATTTGTTGTCTGTTTGAGTTCCACTTGGGATCTGTGGGAATACCTCTTTTTCTCGGAGTCGATGCAAGCGTTTCGGTAGAAAACTCAGGTTTGATTACAACCTGTATGCTAGGTGTTGGACTTAATTCTCCTGACTAAAAACCGATGTTATTAATCTTTGGTGGTGTAGGGTACCTTATAATAATATAAGAAAAATATTTATTTGTAAATTGTACGACCATAATTTACATATCAATCTTTGCTTATAACCTTTGCTGCGTGCGAGAAAGAACTGTAGTTGCGGTCTGCAGATAATCGAATGACAGATGACTACAATCGATCGAATGTTCGAACACTGAGCAAATCCAAGTTCTACGCTTCCCACATTTTGTTTCATGAACTTCGGTGTGATGTGAAAAATTGAACTTTACAGAGCAGTTCTCTTCCTGATCAATTCGTTTTCACTCATTCGCCAAAATGAAAGGTCTTTCACGTTTGGCTTTCCCTCCCTTGCCTTATGTCATTAAACAAGTTTTCTTCAACTGACTGAAATAAGAGCTTGATCCAAGGAGTTCAAACCGTATATTTGATAAAATCATATTGTCATTTGAGGTAACATTACTTTTTCAGATGTTAGTTGAACGCTCGCAATTCTCTGATCATCTGTGTCAACTTCCTAGCTTGTTGGGTAGGGGACAAAAGTGTGACAGGTATCTAACTACTCTGAGAGATGAAGAAAACGTTTTATGGTTAATAGCATCGTTAGTATAATATTTAACCGCAGTTCAATCAGACTCTTGATTGGGGTGGTTAAATTTACTGGTGGCATATTTTACTTCTACTTCTGTACGAACTGCCTGTACACAACTAAGGAAGTAAGCTACGATAAAGGACTCATAGGTAAACACAACGGTATCACCTACACTCAGAGATGGAGGGAGAACAACTGTACTTGAACAGGTTATCATGGGTTTTCAGTTGCATCAAAAGTGTGATAGGGAATGGTATGATTGGTCAGAATGAGGAGATATAAAAAATAGGTTTACGTGAAAATCGGATACGTTCAACTGACGCTGTCCGGGTGACCGAAGATTTGATATAGAATGAAAAATGCTAATTCTTCGCTTGTCCAGTAGCTGTAATGTGCTCCAAGGACAGCAAGTGGTGAGAAGGATTTTTGCCACTCGTAATCCACTCGATACCGTAAGCGACGCTCTGCGGCTTCTGGCTCGTTTCTCTGTAGTGGTAGTAGGGGGCCTAGGCTGGTCACATGCGATGATCTGCGGGTCACGTAACGACTGAAGAATTTGACTGCAATAAAAGGGTGGTTACCGAAAGAAACGAAGGGTTATTTATTCCGGTAAATCATTTTTCGATTGCGAATGATTCCAACGACCTAGATTTAACTTGTATATTGGAATGTGATCTGTGGCAATAAGGCCAGCAGTAGAACGGAACAATATGTACGATTTATTTCGTCAAGCAGCGTCAACCTATTATTCACCGCTGAAAATCCTCAGCCGTGGTAGAGCCCAGCTGAGAAGTCTTGCATCAAGGAATAGATCATTGTCCGATACTTTCGACGGCAGTGAAGGACGAGCATCTGATCAGGTATTATTGGCGAGTAACAAACAGCTGAGAGACACCTTGAATGAATAGCGCGTTGCTTTAGCAGCCTGTTGTGCTCGGGCTCCAAGCCTAATGGTTTTGGTGGATGTGTGCTGTACTGTGCTTCCCAAGGCCTTTCAGTGACGAGTGACACTTTGACACTGGGTGAAAATACTCACAAATAACTAAATTCTCTCCCGTCGTTCCACTAAAATAATACGGACTAATTTGAATATTATAAACTCAAAAGCTGAGCTGCAGATTCAGGCTGGTTAGGTAACCGCAGCAGTGCGAGGTAATACTACTCGGGACCTCACGAGCAGGCCAAAGCACACGCTCCACCTAACCGTCGGCAGTCGGTTGTGTATAGAAAAAGTGAAACTGTTTATTTCATGAGCTTCACACTGACCTAAATCAGCCCTCAATCTGGGAAAGATTCACTTCAGCGTTTGCGGGATTTTTATTTCTGACTGACTTTAAACCAGAGGTCTGGCTATTTTTCGTCAAACCTAATTGAATAAAGTGTTTTCTTCCGATCGTTGGCGAAATTTTGTGAATCAGTGATTTTAGCAAGCATCAGGATCCGATACTTTCCAGCCCACAGTTGGAGCTGGGCTTCATTTTTGAGTAATGTTTATCCCAATAGGATAGTTTTCTGCGATATTCAATTTGTTTTACATTCCACAAATTTATTAGATTGATTCTTGCAGTTCCTTTTTCATCGTGGTTTTACAAATTTACTTTTTAACTTACATGTTTTAGATTTGTGTTGTTTGTAAACTTGGTCCTCGCCCACACTGATCCGTTTGTAGAGCTAGGAAAGAGAACAGTTACGTATTACTCTCGATCAATCTAGACTTATCGGTATCAGTCAAAATCTGATATGAAATGGTTTGAACCAGTTGCTACGCGGAATAAACATCATTCACCATACAAATGTTTGCTTAATTGAAATATGTGCTGGTGTACCAATAAACATTAATATTCCATTTCTCTTGTTCGCCGAGCTTGGCGATTTTTAGCAAATGTTTCATCACCAGCCCCGGTGACATCGTAAATGCTTACCAATTGGTAGTGTTCTGCTTGTACCCGTTCGTTTATATATGTGTTCTTCTCCACCGATTATATCCAAACGCACTGCAGCACCGACATACTCAAGAAGAAGAAAGATACCTCTTCAGATTGTTTGCTCGCAATGGTAAGGTACGAGTAACTATCACAAAAACTCTGACTCAAAGAAGGAAACAAACAACAGACGGAGATCCACGAACACGAACAAATCTGCCGTACATCATGGACGTGTCGCAAATGATTGCAAGACTGCTCAGATCATATGGAATCCAAGTCGCCCACAAACCGATCCTTCTTCTAAGAATACTTCTTTCAAAACCAAAGGAGAGAATAACGAAAATCGACAAGAGTAGTGTTATTTACAAAATACACTACCCAAAACACTATATCGTACAAACTGGAAGAAAACTGTCAACAACGATCCGTGAAAATCAATCGGCAGTCAGGGAGCATGATACACTATCGTTAATTTCCCTGCACGAAGATCAAAAAGAACATCAGTTTGACTTGAAATCAGTGGAAATTATTCTCCAAGCCCGGTCGAAACACGCCAGAGAATTTCTCGAGGCTTGACACTCTTCCATCAACTCAATAAACATTCACGTCGAACTGGATCACATGTACAAGCCAATGCGACTCAAGGATCAGATGACGTGACAAGAGGTCACATCCTGACCTGAAAACCGACCAAAACCGCAATCCGGACGGAAGAACAACCCCCTTTCCTCTCACCCTCATCCCCCTCGCACCAGTTCAACCCTGAACCGAGTCGTCAACAGTGAGAACAAAAGACAAATATAAACGGTGGAGAAGAACATAACGAACGGGTATAAACAGAACACTGCCACTTGAAAAGCACTGACGATGTCACCTCGGCGGGTAATGAAACGTTTGCGGTTCTCTGCCTCTCGTGACTCTCTGCTGAGAGGAACAATCATAGCTACTTGGACTTATTCCTACATGTGCATCCCAGGTGGTTGCGAGATAACTTTTTGTACTAGAACGTTTGTCTCTTGAGTGCAATAAAGCTCATCTTTTTCATTCATGCGCTGCTAAGGTACACCTACCCAGGCTTTCTTTCCATGTAGTTTAGCGAAATACCACGTACTTCAGGAATTCGTGGCTACGTTAAGGTTTTCTAAAATGAAACCATGTTTTCAGTCGGTGAACCGACCGGGATAGTTATTTGTTTGGGTATGATCACTTCAAAGTACAAACTGGTACTGAGCAGTTGCCCTGGTTGAGTATGTGAATTCCAGTCAGAGTTACAGCATAACGATAAATGTATCGTTTTAATTTCAGTGTGGCTACTTTTCCGCTGTAATCGACTTACAAAGTGTACGTACTTCGCAATGCTAAGGTGACCTTCGGGTCCGAGCAAAATTGAGTTCACTAAGTTCCGTCAAATCATGCTAAAGAATCGTGAAGGTTGAATGTAGATATCGACGAATTCTGATTGTTGCGGTTCAAAAATAATAGGTGTCCTGAAAAATTGTATACGTTGAAACTTTTTGTGCACCTCACATCTGTTGAATTTTCTGTTATTTCCCAGAGGTACTCCCACATACTTTTGCCACGGTCCACAACCCTATTTTGAAATGTGTCGGTTAACCTGACGTTATGATAGGTTCGCACTAAAACACTGGTTTTCTATATTTATCAAACAGTTGTTCCCTGTTTTCAGACAGCCGTTTATGTAATATTCAATTTATGCGCCACTTCTTTCCACCGTTTGTGGAAACATGACGAAACTGTTTTATTATATTTCGATCGAGGTTCACACTCACCTTTTTTGCCAGATCAGGTTGTACTGTGTCCACACTATCGTTGTCCGAACTCTCCGTGTCTGAATCCCACACATTTCCCACATATCGTGAGTCTCTTGAATCCGTGTCCCCGAAAGATTCGAACATACTTCCGACTCCATCCATTCCGCTCGTAGAAGTCACATCGATTGAAGAATCACGGGAGAAATCTTGCGGTGACGTATGATCCGAATTCTTGCCCGATTTATTTGTCTTTTTCGAGAGGAAACTGTCCACTGATGGAAGTACCACAGGGGCAACGGTTGAATAATGTTTCAGTAATAACGGTTCAAGACGGTACGCCTGTTTGGGACAAGAGAATGGTGGTACCTTATATTTCGTAAAGTTACATTTTGCGCATAACTTCATCGAAATATATTAGCGAATAAATTAATTCGCTCGGATTCAGTTCCTGTGATCTCACAAGAATGATGATGTTTCGATCAGCGGTTGAATTGAATAAAAATACTGATTTCTAAACACCAACTTATATAGCGGCACGTTTCATATCCCCTTTCGGTAAAGTGATGTGAACGTGACTTTTTTAGTCATTTGGTTTTCATGCAAAATGCGAGCAATCAGCAAAAAGAAACAGGCGGAACTCTAACCTCAGAAATGTACAAAACAAACGAGCGAATGACCAGCAAAATAGCGTTGCCGCCCATCTATGGATAATGGTATCTATAGGTGTGCTCTGACAACTTTCTCAGGAAGCGATCAATCGACGCGGTTTCGCAGTGAAACGTGAAAAAATAAATATACTCTCAATGATTCCCAAAGTCCTTTCTCGAATTTGCATATTTCAATCCTTGAATAATGAATGGCACTAAAGCGGGAGCCAGTCGAGATTGTTTTGACGCAGAATCGTGTAAAAGTTAGTTTCAATCTCACGTAATATAAGTCTAACAGGGAGACCTGTGTTTAACGTTACCGATACTACAGTTACAATATTTTTGATTATTAGGTATCCCGTGTTTTATAATCAATGACTGGTTTTTTCATTTGAAAGAGCCGCTACTTTGCCTACGCTTAGGTTCACCAATGAAACATCGCCTAAGGAATCGGCTGGTGATGATGTCCATACTAAAAAACTATTGGTTGTTCTTATCATAACTGAAATAGCTAAGGTCCAATTTGGATAGTGCTTATAAAAATGCAGAATCTATGCATTTCATGTGAGTAATATTCTATTTGCAGTCACTTTCTCAACTGATAGGACGCCACCACTGTGAAATGCAAATGCGGGATTAAGCGGTTTGAATCCACGTCGCGGACTGGCGTCTATAATAATCTGGCATATTTAGGTATATATCGCTCATCCAAAGTGGCGGAGTAATTCCATTATCAACAAATGGGCAGTAGCAGTCAACAAATTTATTTTCAAACTATATTACTTTTCAAAATGCTGCTGTACATGCTCTATCGGCTTGCGGGCAAGCATGGTGCAACGCGACAAAAATACTAGAAAGACGAATTTAAGTACAGCTATATGGTTTGTGTTGCCAAACGGAACAGAGACATGGATGGCAGGGGTAAGAGGTGAACGCAAACTATCCATGTTCGGTTGATGCCGTCTACACTGCATTTCAAAAGTATTTTGCTAACAACTGAAAAGTAATCGTGCAGCGATACCTGCTTGACGTCTACAGATTGAAATGGCTGGAGCATAGGCTACTTATGCAGCCAAATGGGCTTCGTTGGTGGGTGCTTACCGGGGCAGGTGGTTGGTGATCGAAAAATGATCATGAGTGGCCGAATTGTGAATTAGCAGAGAAGTATAAATAAATACCCTGAAAAGTTGACCTGGTCGGATTGTTCATGTGTCCCGGTTGAGCAGCTCGGGTTTACTCGAGTTACATGATTGAGTGTTTCAACTGTTTGCGCTTTTAATTTACCCAACTAAGGTACTTCTTGAATCACCAGTGTTTTCTTTTATCCACTCTTTGCATACCATTGAGTAGAAATATAATTCGGAAAGGTGAACTGCACCGTGAAATCCTATTAACTTGGGTCTACTTAATCGCTGATTTCGTTTTTAGGCAACACTGTATAATTCGGCAAACTTTTTATTTGCTATCTTAAAGGAAAAGCAAAAGGTAGTTAAATTCTGATTCAGTTTAATTTTTTACAACCATGCACTTTCATACGCCGATTTTCATTGTTGTCTTTTGTTGTCCATTTGGATAAAAGAGCAGAGCGAAGATTGGAATATTGGGAGCAGAGTCAAAGAGAATAATTGAGAATTTCAATAGACGGTTTGCGAGGATTATTGGTGGATGCATAGTTGATAGTTAAGGAGTCATGTTGGTTCCAACTGTAGTTCGTTTGATCTGCAGACCCAAACGAGCAAGATTGGAACGCGATTGAGAAGAACTTACTATTGGATCATAGGAATGATAAATATTATACACACGACGACATGATGAGTAGGGAACGAGCGCATCGGGGTCCTGGTTATTCAATTCGAGCACCTCTGAGTCTGGAGGAGGCGATGGGGTTGTCTGATTGCTGTTTGAACGACGCCTTCGGCGATGTCCTACTCGGGCTACCGGAGCTCGTGGCGACCGCGGCGATTGACTTCTCGGTGTCATTGGTTGGTAAGACGAGGGTATCGCATTGAGTGAAATGAACAACCCCAGCGGTGATCCGATCAGAAAGAGGTTTGAAAGCTGTAAAGAGGAGGACAACGAGAGAAGTTTATTAACAAATTCAACTGGAGACAGAAAAGAGGCGATACAGAGCAATATAGCGAAAAATATTTCCAAACACGTGACGGCATTAAAGCATCTGTACAAATGCATTATCCAGTCACAATAATGTAACCTTGAAGAACTTACGATTCTCTAGTAATGGGGCTTCAAGGGAGTTAATCGCGTACATTACAAAGAAGTAAGGTAGGTTAACCTCTAGGTTCACCGGGAAGCTGATCATAACAAGTGAAGTTAAAACCATGGAAACTTATGTTGTAAGGTTTTTCATGTTTGTGTTGTGGATAGCGAAATCCTTGAAATACAAACACCAAAGCGCTGTGGTTTTTTTCTTTTTTTTGCGTGAATGTGGGGTAACATTTGTAGTTTATCAGCCAACACGAAATTTAGTTGCACGATAAATAGCGGAAACCAAAGAATTCGCGTGTCGTATCTATGCCATCAGACAGGCAACTGACGGGATCTACCGAAACAAAAGAATCCAACGACACCAATAGAGCTATATAGCAACACATTCACATTCACCGTTGAATGGCTTCTCGATAGTCAGTGAAAAACTATGTAATGGTCCTTTGCATATGGATTAGAAACGATAGTCGATCAAATTGGTCTGTTTGTTTTCGTGAGACCGGTGCATTTGTGCAGCTATGCTTTATTTGTCGCCATTTGCAAACATCCTCTTCACGAAAACGATTCATCCGGGTGAGTCTGCACAAAGCACTCTTATCGGATTCCGATTTTTTCCGGATCGGGCACTGTTTGCATTTTCATCTGACGTCAGTAGCGAGGAATGCCAGATCCTGTAGTTGCAACAATGGCTTTTGCCCGGATGTTAGAATATCAAATAGAAACAAAAGCGTAGGCTAGAGTCGAAATTCCATATTATGTACATGAGCTGAAATGACCAGAAAAGGTTGATTGCAAAGCAAACAGACAAACATCGCCCCGTATGACTGACGTGGCACCATGAACGTCGACTAATTCGCACTTAGCACCTGTAGACAGACCTGAAAATTTGAAGGGCTCATGAACTTACCCGTTTTGGTTCTACTGATATACACTTTGTTGACGATTAGATGTTTGATCTTTTTACCGTTGTTGCAGTAGACTGGATTTATGTGGAAAACTTCACCCTTGGTCCAATGGTAGGGACTAATTGCACTGATATTTTGATGGACAAGATGTAAACAATTATATGACAAGCTAATCTCCTCAATAATCATGAGCACGACGCCTAAGTTTTTCAGTGAGATCCGTTCCAACCATGGATCTTGTTTTATTAACATTATCAATCATTTCTCATTATTTTTGTCAATTTTCTTTATCTATCCTGAAAGAAATGCAGAGATATCAATTGTGAGACATCTAATAGCAACGTGGCACATAGTTCACCTAATTCTATCTTGCGAACTGGTGTCATGAAGTCGTACACTGAAGCTTTTGGCGCAGAAAAAACACCGATGCTAATGTTTTGGACAATTCTGTTCTTTGTGTCCAGAAGTTATCGGTGTATATCCGTTGTTTGTCATGGACACGACCGTGATTCGTTTTTATGAATAATCTCTCCATTCTTCATGTTATTGACCCAAAGTGGTATAGACTTTAGACAGTTTTACGCAGGCGGTTGAAATGAGTAAGTTTTATTCCACAGTATTAGCCTTCTCTTTGTAGTGAGCAACTGGATAAATGGTACCCAGCATTTTGATGAAACCGAACTCCAACGGTCCATTTCTCTTAGTCCTCGCAATTAACTAGTGAACATATACCCGATCAAGAGTGTCTGACAAACAATAAAGTAAAAACGTTATCACGCTTCAGTGAGCTAGAGAGAACTGAATTACGGTCAGGTATTCTCAGGTTTTGAGCAATCAAATGAAGTCAGCGCCAACGCTTCCGGAATGGCTTGTGGCACCAGCTAATATTCCAAAAAGTGATAAAGTTTGAACATAACTAAGTGCATGAAAAGGCTAAGACGAAAACCGCCACGGAGGTCTGTTCCCCGGTGGACGAACGAAGCACTATACCTTCTAAAATTCTCGCATACATCTGGCATCGTGGAAAGCAGACATAAAACATCCCCAGAAATCATTTGGAATCCGAATTGATCAGGCAGAAACACACTTGCTAGAAAATATATGAAAATATGATAGCTCGAAAACTAATAAGCAGGTGAAAAATCGAACCCAGGTTTTTTGTTAATAGTCTTTAAAACAGTGAAGCGTCCGCGAAAATGCTTCATCAGAACGAAAAATGAAACAAATTGTAAAGCATTGAAAATACTTTCGGTTGCGGACCTTCCAGAGGATGTTGCAGTTAAATCAACTTATTACTTGCATCTTGGGTCCTCCTTCCGCTCAATGTGTCCTCCAAAATGTTGACCGACAATTAGAGTATGCGGGAATTAGAAATGCATTTTGCACCAACAAACGCGTGTTAGTCAAGCGAAGTGAGAAGAGCGAACAATCTGGATCGGAAAGCTCAGAAATCCAAACGCACCTCTTTTTCACCGGCGTTGAATGCGAGAAACACATTAGCGGTTAGAAAGGCGGTTCGAGGCAGCACTCAAAGGGCTGGCATAAATACCTGAGGCAGGGGCTTCCACGAGACAGGTCGTTGAATCGATGCAAGGAATGAACTCTGAATTAAAAATTAAAAATATGAATTGAAACATTCGCATATAGAATTCGCAAAGTATAACATACTGAATAGCATGAAGAATAATTTGTCACCAAGCGCAATCCTATTTCGCGGATAAAGATTATACATATTTTGAATAAGTGCTATTGTATCGCATTTTTGTACCAAATGTCTATGAATTCATTGAATGATACAGTAATAGGCTCATCAATTTAAGTGATCAAATACGGATTGTCTTTTAGAACGCTGAGAAAAATTCCTAATTTTGATTCCTTATAATTTAGTATAGTCTATTGTTCAATGCCAGTTCTTTATAATAAATAAATTGTCGTCAATTTGGAACGATACACTGTGGCTTGTGATTCATTCTTTGAAAATAAGTCTGCTCTGCCGTTTTTGCCATGAGAAACCAGTGGAAACATGTTCAAATACGTAAAATATCTTGGATTGCAATTTTCTTACTTAAAATCAAAATCCGGAATTCGAATTTACCTACCAGAATGTCTTGTGCACGTCGCCCTCTACTAACATCAGTAAATAAAACGGCTGCAATAACACAAATGAGTTACATGAGGTGTGTGATCAGTGCGTTTTTCTGTGTACTGAATTATGACGTAATTGTAAAACCAGGCCAGAAGCTGTATCCCAAGATTCCCTGTAACCTGTAACCAAATGGTTGAGTGATATGGTGAAAAACACCAACTTATAATATTTCAGTCACTTGGTTGCATACGTTTGGTCAGTTATTTAGCGTTGATCAGAAATGAGTGCGGTGCGTGAAACAAAAACAGTTTATAAAGAAGAACGGAACTAAACTCCTGAATCACTCAGAATTAACTTCAATTTAATAATCTAAACAACTATTATACTTGTAATGTCGTGCGACGCTATTATCTGTTTGTTACCTTTCGACTACTCCTTAGATCGTACAGTGATAAAAGGGGTAAATGAACAAGTTAAGAATCCAAGGGCGTAATTAAAATAAAATTCGGAAAACACGCTAACTAGACTTGCGTAGAAAGTGAGTAGATGCACAACCGTTACATACCACCTAGTGTCTTTAAATAGGTTGGACGGAAGGTCCCAAACCATTCAGCCTAATGGGACCAATATGGTCGATTCTCATCTCCAGGGTTTGTATACCCTCAAACCAGTCATGATCTGAACAATTTAGTACAGCCGTAGCCGCCGGTTACCGAGAAAGCCTATCCGTTTATAGACCCGACACCTGACCCAATCATCTCAAGTCATTTCCTTTTGGTTGTCCCGTTAGATTTTAGCAATGCGCCGTACACAATGGTATCGGGACAGCAATAGTCTGCTCATATCTCCTATCCTGCCGGTCATTTCTACGCCATTTATTTGCAATTACTGGATAGCAGCAAGACTACGGAATGCTTCAGCAGCGTCAAAGGTTTTTCAGGATAACATGTAATCATATTAAATGGATAACTGTGCCGTCGGTAGTTTTAGTTAAATTATCTCAAAATATCATGTACAGTTCGTACTCTGTAAGACTCGAAGCAATTGGGTTGCAGTCCGAGATCGTGTCACTCAATAGGTTGAGTTAATTTTATTTTAGGAGGGAGATTGGGCCTTAGGGTTTCTATTCTTTTTCATTGCAATTTATTTGTGACATGCATATTGCAAAAGCTAGCTAAGATAAACGTTGGCCTAAAACACCCGATCATTGCAAATCGAACGTAAAGCTAGGCACTCCAGCAAAAATGATCACATCACTCACTGGAGAAGGAGAGTCAGCATACTGCAAGGGTGGGACATTGGGACAAAAACATTTCCAAATTTAACCGACACTTGAATAAGGTTTTAAATTATTGCAGTCAGGGAAAATCATTCAATTCAACCGTTAGCTTTTCGTTTGTGATCAGATGGAAACCCAGCGATGTGCACGTTAAACAACTGGGTTTCGGTCGGTTTGTCCGAGATTTCTGCATTCTGTGTTATTATATTGTAGTCTGTACGTACAGTAAGGGTATTATGGTTATTAGAGGAAAAACGTAAGGCAAAAGAAATATAAAGATCATAGTAAACTAAATCAGCCATTAAAACAGTGGTTCAAATTAAGGTATCCAGTTTATGCTGGAATTGTAGGCTTTGCGGTGTCACATTTAGCTTAAGCACCTGATGAAAGGGAGTAAAACATTCGGGATTGATGAGAATTGCATCAAGAAATCGGTATCACCCTCGAGATTATATACTCATTGTCATCTAGATGTCGATATCCAATCTTTGATCACAAAGAACAAGACTAGTTTACTTGGACATTCACGTCAGTGCATAACTGCAGCTGTTCTGGTTCCTTTTGGTTTGTGACATCAATTACTGTTGATTAACCACGACCTTTAGATGTGCTCTTCTTTGAATGCTTGATATGCCCCCAATGCATGCTTAACGTTCATGGTTCTACTCAGTCCAATTTGGTGTTGCATGTAAATCAAAGCCCAGCACATCTTTGGAATCTTAGTCAGTCTCGTATTAGGTATCATTTACTAAGAAATAATTCCTATACGTCTACGAGATGTTTCCGATTTGGAGTTCACAACTCACCTCCGAGAACACAGACTAACAACTGTTCACTGCTTCGCGATCTTTGCTTTCACTTCGTTTGATTGAACGCACAACAGAAGAAGGAGCGAATCAGAGGGATGCCATATGATACAATAAACTGGGGCAAACTTGGGTGGCATTGGTGGTTGGTGATGGATTCCAAACACAACTTCCCAGGTGCTAAGAATAACCTGAACCACTCTACGACCACTGCCAACTCACTTCTCTTTACGTGCAAGTGCCTGCTGTAAAACGTCGGAAAGAACTTCTATACCTATTGACTTCCAAGTGCGTTGGAACGAAGGAATGCTAAAACTGATGAATCAAAGAGTTCATTCCCAAGGCAGTGTAATCAAATTTAAGTAAGAAAATAAAGGGAGTGATGTGTTGAGGTTAGGCAGTCGAGACAAATTAGTGATAGAAAAAGGGTGGAGAGGGACAAATTCATCTCTATAATTTTCTTGTTCTGACAACAACGGGTGACGTAAGCGTGGCAATTGATTTGGGTGAATACTAAGCTCACACATGATGACGGAAGTTCGCTTGCCTGAACCAGTGTTTTTTTTTTAGCTAAACTCTGGCTTAAACATGCGAATTATAGTTGTCTTGGCTGTTTCTAACGCTTTAATTTGAGCAGCCTTGGATTTGTGTTGTCGAACTTGGCAAATGATGGTGAAAGCTGAATTAGCAAACACCGTATGTCCAGTCTCGACCAAATATGCGATGATCAAACAAGAGATAAGATTCCTTGTATAGCCACATGAGTGAATGTTTAGATAACTGCCTTTACTATCAATAATTAGCCTCAACTGTTTAACCTCAACACATCACTCTCCCGTTTTTTTCTTACATGAATGCGAATGCAATGACTTGGAAAAGAACTCATCGGAAAGATATTTTCACCTACGATCTGATTACAGCCTGGACTTCTTGAGTGATTTGGTTTCCGTAAGGCTGAGCGGCCTAATGGCGTTAATAATTCGTGTTTAAATGAGCGAAGACAACAACTGAGAATGGTCGAGCGAGCTGCATCGAGTGTATCAGTCCTAATCTTGGCATGAGTCAACGGATGTGCATCATTGACAAGTTTCATATAGATAAAGCCCTTGGGTGGTCACGGTCCGCCAATCTTGTAATCCTAATCCTATTCTTGTTATGCAAATAAAACTGAGTGACCGGGAAACTCTTGGGTAAACTATATCTTTTTCAGTGCATGGCATCTTGAAGAAACAAGCTTCTCTCGGTCGGCAAATAGCTCTTCTTCTCCTGAGATCCTATTTCCCAATCAATGTACGGTGGTTTGTGAGGTGTAAACGTTGAATAGCATATTCGACAAAAGTGATATCTTGTCATATAAATGACGGATAAATAACCTATTTATAATCTGTTTCTTTCTGCCAACAGCATTTATAACTTGATCAAATCGCTAGATTGTCATCAAAAGATTATCATAGAAACATTACAGATATAGAACACGCAGCTTAAGAATAAATAAACATGTCATAAGTTACTCAATTGTCATTGAGAGTATACAAAGAATTGTTTTTTTGTGATAAATATTTATGGGATATTTTACATCTAGGCAACTTACAAGGAACAATGTTTTAAGCGAAATTTATTTCGAATTTCAAGCGCTGAGCAGTTCCTACTGAAGAAACTACGAATTATTCACAATAAATACAAGCAATCAAGAAAATAAATCAGTTTGTCCGAATATCATATCACTTGCTGTTATCAACCGTTGAAAACCACGGCATGTGTTCCAGAAGGAACAAACTTTTAGATTGAGAAAACACTTACTTGTGGACTGGAATTGATTGAGGTTTGGCTCATTTGTCGCATTAATTTTAGTTCCAAATCCAACAATCTAAAAGAGATGAAATAGAGATGAAGTACTTGTTAAGTTAAAGTGGCTCAACAGGTAAATTCATCATAATGATCTAAGCGCGTAGTTACGATGATGAGACAATCAATTAACTGATAGACAGTCTTATGATGTCCATGACGATCTGATGCATGAATCACTATGAACTTTGCGTCCATTCTTAAAACGTTAACAATCTCCAGTAATTGAGCATAAGGTTTTTTTCTTTTCTTCAAAACACATTTTAGGTTGATTGTTTACATTATATTTATTTCGTTTCGCCTGTTCGTTAAGCTTGGTAGTTTGTTTGCATTTTCAAATAAATTACCAAGCTCGGAGAATAGGCAAATGGAATTCAGTTCATCCGAAATACGTGAACCGATTTTCAACACTTTGTCATGATATATATTTACACATTTTGGTTTGGTGACTGCACACCTCTCTTTCTCACCTATTTGTGTTTCCATCGCACTATCAACGGAGCACAAAAATGAAGTTCTCATGTAAGGACTGGTTTACGGAAAATGCATAATGAAAGCATCCTCGAAAAGCTCTCTATTACCTATTGTACCACTGTTTTTCAATTTCAACCTATACCTAGGAATAGCAATTCATAAAAGAGTTTTGCATGAGCTGAGGTCCCTAGTGATTCTGAAGAAAATCGAAGACATAGAGAAGGCAAATTGAGTAGAGAAATCGGATAAAAGTAACAAAAAATTGTAAAGAATAAATAAACCTGATCAAAGAATGAAATATTAGGAACGGAGTCTTTAATCAATACGTCAATAAACCAATTCACATTTCACGCGGAAAGACCGACTCGCCAGCATGTGAATTACTATCACTTGTAGAGTTAAATAATGTCTGGCGTGCTGTGTGCCAGGTTGGGGCTGCACACCTATAGCAACAGACCGGCATTTTTCAGTCAACAAATACTCCATTAAGGAATGCCCTCGACGATACTGGAAAAGTGTTGACACAACTTGATGGCAATCATTATCTATTAAACTATGTTTATGGAGAACCAATAATTTGGTTTCAACTGAAGACAGAATAAATCATGTGTGAGTAGGACCTAGGTAAGTACCACAAAAGTGAATGAAATCACTGCTTGTTCTTACCCTTGTGAAATTCCTAAAGGGAACTGGATGTGTGGAATTAAAAGTTATTGATGAACAAGTGAATGCCTGAAATCAGGATCTTGTTGATATCATTCACTTTGCAATGCCGGTTGCATCGTTTTCGAGGAACTCCATATACTTCAAACCTTTCAATGGTTCATTCGTGACTGGCACTCGTGAAGAAGTACAGAGGGAAAAAAGTCAATGATATGAATATAATCTCCTTCGTTTTTCAATTTTTTCTAACTGGGAAACCTGTGTCTCTGAACTTCTACCTCATTCCATCCAGAATTACTTTCCCTTAGGTTCTGTTTATTCTTGTTATCTTACATCAGGCTGATGCTTTGTGCATGCAACAGGCTCTAGATATCTCGGTACCTCTCATTCAAATCATTTTAAAATTGGATTAGATATTGTGATTGCTAAGTAAGTCCAGGTTTACACTTTTCTACTCACCGGTTCTGTTATTGAAGAAAAGAACACAGTCCGGATAAAAAGCGCTGTTAGCCTCGGATAACTTTGACATCAATGACACAGTCACAAATTCCATTGACTCTTATCGGTTGCATGTACTGCACTGCGGTATACTTAGTGCTAATTTACGGTTGGAATTCCTAATCAATTTTCGTCTGTTTTTATTTGATTATCTATATCATTGTAAAATTCTCTAGGTGTTNCAATATTCGACGGGTAAAATAGTTATCCAATCGACCATGTCACATTACTCCACAGACCCAAATGGCTTATTGACGTTCTAAGATGTCCATCCCACGGCCTACCTAACCACATCCTACTCGAGGTCT